CTCCTTCACTACAGACTATCGCGCCACCTAACCATTCGCCAAAATGTTTTTAAAACCACCGGTAACCGGCCAAGCGCCTGGCAAAAAACTATCTTCAAATAAAAGAAAGTCACAGGAGGAGTTAAAGGAGAGTGATAGGGAGTATGAGAAGGAGAGGTAAGTGAAGAGTAGAAAATATAAAGGTGTATTCGCTCTAGGGAAATGTCCCAGCAGTTTAGAATAATGAAGGTTCTAATTTATTACATAGCCATTACATTTCTAACTCCTGATAATGACAGGAAGGCAGAAAGTGTATCATAAAAATAATAATACTCATAGCAGAATTGTCACCCTCCTTTTTTTCTTTAACAATGACCACAATATAATCATTTTAATAAACCAAATATGAACAATTGAGGAAAATGAGGAAGAACTGATGATTCAAATGTTGTAGTACAAGTAGTAATGTAGTTAGTGGATAAATTACTATGGCAACAAATATGTTCATTTTCTTCATTATTAGTCGATTCTTTGGATGAATGCTCTGGGCCAGTGGTTACAATGGTGGGGCCAGTGATAATGAAATTCTACTGACAACTTAGTATTTGAATTATGCTATCCTGTGTGTGAAAAGCACCTATGTTTGAAACATCTGGCTATGTTCTTCAGTGTTGTGCCTGTGAATGTGATAATGCATGTGTGATTGCACGGGGATGTTTTTCCCCAACATCTGTTCACTAGGTCCCTAAAATTAGTTTTTTTTAAGGCCTTTTTCCTTTGCCTTTCTCCCTGGATAGCTGTCCGGTGGCAGAAAAATATGTCTGGATACTTATTGGATTCTCCACTTGTGGAGACTTAACATCTGGCAAATGTTAATTTACATTTTGTGGAGTAGATTTGGGGACTATGGTGTGATTTCATGTGTGTTGGATGTCCAGATGCAGGAACAAGATGTGAGACAACTCTGAACTCTTCTGAAACCGTATAAAGAGACAGGCTGCAGATAAAACCACCTGCTGCAACAATATAATAACCGCCATGCCATGTGAGTGAGAGAAAGGTGTGTATTTATTTGTCTGCTGCACACCAGACTCCTCAGGGTCCGTGTGTTTGATGAAGTGTGTGTGTGTTTTAAAGATTCCTGCCCGTCCTTGAGTCCAGCAGTTTGGACCTTGTGTGTCTCCACAATGTCAGCTCACTGATTCATGCTGCGACTCTGCCACTGATCCGTAGAATGACTCTCGGGGGGGGGGCGTTGAGACAGGCTGCATCAATCACACTGCCTAAGAGCTGGGCACATGTGCACACAGACAGATCCGACATACACTCCGAATATAAGACACAGCCACTGTTTGTAATCACATAATGTATTTTTCACATTTAGTATGACGGTAAACTGAGTAGAGATTATATATGTAAGATGTGGATGATGTTCACAAAAGAAATTTTCGAAATATATTAAATTATACAGTATGAGGAGTTATGAGCTTAAATTAACGGCATCCCTCTTGACTGTCCAATAAAAGAGAGGGCAGATGGTTCAAATAATTAACGGCAATTATACAGTTTATATAATTCCTCATGGTTGCACTAGAGAAATAGTCAGGTTGTCTCCAAAGCCAGTATGATTCATCGTCTTTGTATCATGAATGTGCATAATATTTTGTGCCCAACTGAACAGTAGACATTGAGATATGATGCTGAATGTTCAACAATTTGACCTGGTTATTGGAGCTAGAGGAAGAATCAGGGGCTCACCAAAGACAGAGGATTCATCCTTTGGGGAGTAAAGAAGTAAAAGGTGCAAGAATAGCAAATATCATCATGTCAGTTACAGGCATTATCTTGCAGGGGAACTCATTTGTTTGATTTGGTCATATAAATAGCTAGTAATTTCGGAACATCTGTACACTTGCTGTGTTTGTTTTTAGCTTCTCTCCTGGGCTTTTCTCCTCTGAGTGGTTGGTTCTGTGGTTAGCCGCTCTGTTGTTGTGGTCATGCTAAGTTGCTGCTGAGAAGTGGGTCCACCGCAGCCTCTCTCTGTCTGGGTTTGTCACTCTCTGCGAATATAAAAAATTGTGCCAGGTTTTAACCAGATTTTTCAGATATGAGAGCTGTAAACAGAGGGTTTTAAAAAACATTAGGGACTTATCCACCCCGAGGCTTAGTAGATGAGACACAATCTCCGGGGGTTTTGCTGCAGTGTGTGTGTGTGTGTGTGTGTGTGTGTGTGTGTGTGTGTGTGTGTGTGTGTGTGTGTGTGTGTGTGTGTGTGTGTGTGTGTGTGTGTGTGACCATGTGTGAAAATATGTGAGTGTTGTGCGAAGATTTTATGTCTGCCATCATTTAAATATAGCTTAAATCCCATTTGATCCTGTTTGATCCTATTGATGCCAAAGCATTGAAACAGTCAGATATGATTAGCCGTTCAAGGGGCTGTTTTCCCAAATCCATCTTACTAGAAAGAGACTCGAGGCAAAGCCCGTAGCAAAGGGAGAGAATGGTGACTTTTGGCTGTTTTTAGCTGAGACTCGCCCTCTGATAGTGATCAGAGGGGAGCCTATTAAACACAAACCAGCCCATATATAATAGTTCTTTTTTGTCTCTGTTTTCCTCCACCATCAGAGTGCATTTACACATTATTCTCCCTGGTGGTGCTGATGACATTATTCACTCTTTTTCCACTTCATCTGAAAATAAACAACTGTGAAGAGTTCAAATTCTGGGGGTTTTGGTGAGCATTTATAGCATGAGAGCAAAAGACTTCCGTTCAAGTTTAGAGTATAAGTATTAAAGTAGTACCACTTTCTGCTAACTAGATGGACACTGAGCTGTGTTTCAGATCTAATGCCAGGTGCTCTTTGACTGTCTCTAAGTTGAAAACTGTGTGTGGGAGAGATGACAGGTTGCCTGAAGCAATGTTCAAGCACGAGTGATTCATCTCATCTCGGTGCAAGGAGGACCAAAACGATTTTTAATTCATACCCACCAAAATGCCAAGTCCTACGCATACATACATCAACAAATAGCAGATCAAACATATAATATGACTTAAGCACACAGTGATTCAAACACCCATTTTGCCTCACGATTTATAGCAGTAGCGTGCAGGCAGAATGTGATTGCTGAGTAGCTCAGTCTGTATTTATGCGTGGTGATAATAAATTCATTGTGTTTGTCAAAATGGAGCAGACGGTCTCAGAGCTGCAAAGAGAGCCGAGGAGATGCAACATGCATGAATTCAGCTGAAGTTCCCTTGCTGTAGAAACGGCTCCCAGGGTGCCAGTTTCCTAACTGGAAACTATAAATGAATGAGCAAAAACGAATTATCTTAAATATATTACACAGACCCGTGCTCCTGTAATGGGGTGTCGTCAGCTGTATTTTAGTGCCCTGTCATATTCCTCAATTGTCTTTTGGTATAATATTACTTAAACAACAGGAACAGATCATTTACAGCCATGTCGATGTTTATGCGCCAGGGAGATGTTCTTCTTCACATCCCCTTTCTCTAGTATGATGTCTCTAATCAACTTCCGCATATTTTCTTTCTATTTCTCCGCTCTCTTTTAGGTGTATGGTGCACTGACCCTGCCTGTGACAGGCGAGGAGTCGGAGGACCAGGGCCATGATTGGCTCCCCTGGCCCTGGTGTGCGTGCCTTAGTGCCATGGTCGAGGGTGTGGGGATGGGTCCTGGCTTCTTCTCTTGTTGCCATAATAACCTTGACACTTCCAGGAAGTAGCCAGGCCTGTCCGCCACGGTGCGAGTGTTCGGCTCAGCTGAGGTCAGTGTCGTGTCAGCGGCGGCGGCTCACCAACATCCCAGAAGGCATCCCCACAGAGACACAACTCCTGGACCTCAGCAAGAACCGGCTCCGCTGGGTGCAAGCAGGCGACCTGGCACCGTACCCACGGCTCGAGGAAGTGGACCTCAGCGAGAACCTCATCGCCACATTAGAGCCCAATGCCTTTGCCAGCCTCCCGAGTCTTAAAGTGCTGAAGTTGAGGGGGAACCAGCTGAAGCTAGTTCCCATGGGGGCTTTCGCCAAACTGGGCAATCTGACCAGCTTGGACCTGAGCGAGAACAAGATGGTGATTTTATTGGACTACACCTTCCAAGATCTGAGGAGTCTGAAACATTTGGAGGTGGGAGACAACGACCTGGTTTATATCTCCCACAAGGTAAGCTCTCCAGCAGCTTGTCTGTATCATGACAGTGTTACTAATGAAGAACGGGATATTTGGATGTTGAACTATTCCTTTAACAAATGAAGATAATGTTTATCATGAAATAAATTAAGCTTGAACTTCAAAAATATATTATTTTGTATACACTTAAAATATATGTTGAGCACTTTTCCCAGTACTTACGACAGCATCAGTGTATTTTGTTTAACATCATAATCAAACACCCACTGCTATTCATCATGCATATAAAGTATGTAAAATGAATACAAAGTTATGTTATTTAACCTTTTATTTTCCTGATTCCTAGGCATTCTCAGGGCTGCTGGGTCTGGAAGATCTCATAATAGAGCGCTGCAACCTGACATCCATATCTGGCCAGACGCTGTCGTACCTGCGCAGCCTGGTTACTCTTCGCCTCCGTCACCTCAGCATCATTGCCCTGGAGGACCAGAACTTCCGCAAGCTGTCCAACCTGCGGGGCCTGGACATCGATCACTGGCCGTACCTGGAGTACATCTCCCCTTTTAGTTTCCAGGGCCTGGACCTCCGCTGGCTCTCCATCACCAATACCAACATCACCTCCGTCCCCTCCGCTTCCTTCAAGAACCAGGTGCACCTCACCCACCTCAACCTGTCATACAATCCCATCACCACACTGGAGCCCTGGGCCTTCAAGGACCTGCTGAGGCTGAAGGACCTCATCATGGTAAGCACAGGGTTGGTGACAGTGGAGCTCCATGCCTTCGGAGGCCTTCGACAGATCCGGGTCCTCAACTTCTCCTCCAACAACCTGCAGACTTTGGAAGAGGGCTCCTTCCACTCTGTGAACAGTCTGGAGACCCTCAGAGTGGACGGGAACCCCCTGATGTGTGACTGCCGTCTGTTGTGGATCCTGCAAAGACGCAAGACCCTCAACTTTGACGGCAGAGTGCCGGTGTGTGCAGGGCCGGTGGAGGTGCAAGGCGTCAGCCTGAACACCTTCACCGATTCTGCACTCTTCGATCACTTTACATGCCAGAAACCTAAGATTCGCAACCGTAAGATGCAGCAGGTAAAGAAGATGATACACTAGCAAAAATGTATAAATGTCGATGTATTGATAACTAGGGTAACTTTAATTTATTCTGCAAGCACAACACGTTTTTTCTGTTATACTGACAGATTTATTATCCAGCTATTCTTCTGTATTTTCATTGGTCTGTACATTCCTTTCCTCCCACTCCCCCAGGTCGTTGCTCGTGAAGGCCAACCTGTGAGCTTTCTGTGTCGAGCTGAAGGAGAACCTGCACCTGCTATTATCTGGATTTCCCCACAGCGCCGGCGGATCACAGCTAAGAATTCAGGGCGCATTACTGTCCTCCCGAGTGGCACCTTAGAGATCCGCTACGCCCAGCTCACTGACAGCGGTACATACATCTGCATCGCCAGTAACGCCGGAGGCAATGACACCTACTTTGCCACACTCACAGTGCGCGGCCACTCGCTAGATGCTGCCTCAGCCTTCTTTCTCAACCGCTCACTGTACGGCGGCGAGTTCTTCAACGACACAAATCTGAACAGCACGCGTGTTTTCCTCAAGTTCACGCTGGACCTGACGACCATCTTGGTCTCCACGGCCATGGGCTGCATCACCTTCCTGGGGGTGGTGCTCTTCTGTTTCCTGCTGTTGTTCGTGTGGAGCCGGGGACGCGGCCAACGCAAGAACAACTTCACAGTGGAGTACTCCTTCCGGAAATCTGAACCTGTCACTGGTAGCTCCTCAGGAGGGACCAGGAAGTTCAATATGAAAATGATATGAAACAACGCAGCCAGGGGTCCCTTGGGGGAGGCATGAGCACGTCCCAAAAACGTGTTTGACACACGCAAACACACACAGCTACTGACTCGCAAAGAAGGTTGAAAGCACAATACGTTTCTGTCTATGGCTCTATTACAAATTAAGCGCCCACTTCAAAACTAAAGCTATTACTCAATTTGGTTTGTGAATGAAAATAAAGTCACCCTGATCTCACTGTCAGTGGTTTTATTCAGCTTGTTGTGAAAATCATGTCTGAATAATACTGTACAATTTGTTTTAAAGCTATTTATAGTCCATGCTCGATAAGAATAAATAGAGTTAAGACTAAAGAGATAAGTTTTCTGAATTGGCATGTAAACTGAGCTGTGGGACACTGGTAGCCATGTCTGTCTCTCTCTCTCTCTCTCTTACAATTATGAGATAATGAAAAATAATTCCTCTTTAATTAAAATGTCCCTTTACTGTATTTGGTACAGTCAGGGATTTTAAAATACATTTGAAGAAGAGAGACCTGGCTACCATCCATTTATAGAACCTGTATTTATGCTCTTCTAAAGTCTGCCTGGATAAGAATCGTGCATGTTCAAATGCAATTAGAAGTTAAGTTGTAAATTCACAGAATAAAACAAATTGTTTTAAATTGAATATGTTTTTCTATAAAGACAGATTCCTTTATTCTTAACAAGCTCTAGATTTGGACCATTCACATAAATTACAAAAACACTTGGCCTTCTCTTCTTTGTGAGATTTTGCAACAACATCAGCTGTGTGAGTTTGGGACGAGCGCTCTGACCTGCTGCCGTGGCTGCCCGCGGCCCGGAGGGTTTGGTTAGGAAGTCAAAACCATCGGACGCGGGCAGCCACGGTAACCACAGCAACCAACACGGTAGAGAGCAATGGGGACTGGGGCTCATGACCGCAGGAGGCTAGCTGGGTAAATCACAAGCCCCGATCATGCTCTTTCATCAACGGGAGAGGGTCAACCTGCCTGCCTCCGCCCTTTGTCCCGCCCTCTGCTGCGTTGGTGGACGCCTGACCTTCCCAGCGCTGCCCGGGGGGAGCAGCCCGGAGCGTCAGGTCAAACTCAGAGGCAAACAGAGGACACACAGGAACACTGTTGTGGTCTTCACATCGAAAACATACATAGCAACACTTTCATAGCACCTTTTCTCAGGAAAAGTGAAATAACTATCCTACAGAGTGACACACATGCTCTTTTTAAATATTACATTCCAGCAATACTGTAAGTAGAGCCATAAAGCCAACATTAATGTAAATGTTTGAGTGAAGAAACAAAGCCATAGTATGTATGTATGGTTTTTCTATACGGTAGCTTGTGCATGATTCTGTTAAATGATAATAATTATTGCTAATACAATTGTTCAAGTTGGTGTGATGATCACAAGACCATCTGCTGTCGCTGGGCTTGCAAAAAGTTGCACCCTGCAAGCCCATAACACACACACACATCACACCACACACAGGAGTGCTGAAACCTCATCAAGGTTCCTTGGATTGATAGGAAGAACAATCACACAATCATGTGTATTTACTTACACATGCATAAACATACAGATTGATGAAGTGCCACAGCAAAGTGTGATGCGTCTGCTCTCTGTTTGCCTCTGAGACGGTCAGTTTGCGAATGTCTCTGCCCCCCTAGCCCAGTGCATCCCCCCTACTCACCCCTAACACCCCCACACACCCCCACTGGGTCCTCCTTTGGGAGGGGTCCCTGGCTGGAGACCGAGGATTATAAAATGTAAATGAAGTCGTGTTAACCCTACCCACGCCATGTGCGTCGTATAGTGGAGAGTAGTACTGTGGTTTTAAAAACAAAAAAACAACAAAAAACTTAATTTGAAGTGTTCTTTTTGTCCTCCATTTTTATTTTTACTCAGTTGTTGTTCTCCGTGACCTTTTGGCTGTTTACCGTTTTAATGTTCCCCGTCCTCCATGTGGGACTGTTCTGTTCTCAACACCTAATGAAGTGTCCACACACTGGACAGTGCTTGTGTCTGTTTGCATCTCAGAGTGCATAAGAAATGAGACAGGATCTAAAGCGTCGTACACTAACCAAGAGTCACAGGGTAAATTGGTGAGTCACCAGATGGTCGACAAAAAAAGAAAGAAGAAAAATCAAGATGGTCTATTTTTCTGATTATCTAGGGAATAATTGAAATAGTTAAAATTCTAAGTCATACATCTTCTGGTTTTCTTAGCCTCTTTATAACCTAACCTATAGTTAAAGGTATGTATTACTACAGATGAACATGTCACTGTTTATAGAACACTAATGCTTATATATGACTTACTCACAGTGAAGAGTAAAAGAGGTGACTGAAATACTCAAAGCTGAGACGAGATATTACCCATCATTTTAAACTTCGTAAATGTTACTTACCTAATGTAAATTAACTAATGTCTGTGTATGTTGAACTTAACATGCATTTACAAAGGACCAGCAGTTGAACTTGATATAGTTTGGACCAAAAATTATTTTCTTTTTTATGAGCCGTTTTACTGGTGCTGTAAACTCTGTAGCCTACACTCTCTCACACCATTCATTGGACACTATTTACTTTAGAATATTTTCTAAAAATCCATTTACACCTTACTCACATGAAATAGCAACCTTGTTTCCCAAATCACTCTTTTGAAACTAGCTGGTGGTGAATAAGAGTTTATGTAGGACACTGCACACAAACGTAGGGACTGATTTATGAAAAGCTGTTGCTATCAAATGATTGACGTGTGTGGAACAAATTGCTTCAGTTTTAGGAGTCCTTTTGTTATAGTTACTGGAATAACTAATCCAAACTATACCTACAGCAAATGTAGAACCTATTTAGACAAATGTGTAGTTTGAAGAGAGAACCATAAACTCTTCAAACTTTTGCTAAATAAATTCTGAAACTCAATTTTTGTCCCTTGTGAGGGGTGATGAAACCACAGTTTCTGTGTCAGAATGAATAACTCAACAGTTGTTAAAGATTCATGAGACCCAATGAGAATAGAAGAAACAAATTGGCTCAGCCTGTTTTATTTCTTATTTTACAGTCACAGCCCATTTGAGTGTTGAGAACAGGACGTCTCATCATGGACCTTTCCTCTCCCCCAGCCAACCCTTTTGTGTTTCCATGTCCCGGTATTTCTTAGTAGAACATAGGGTTTAGAAGACAGTGAGGATGTCTGTAATGATCGTTGATGGTGTTATTGTGCAATCATCAATCACAACTGTAAGCGTAGATTAGGGTGTGTTTTTGTTTTATTATCTTCCTACCCTTCACTGTGCTTCTCCCCTCTTCCTGTTCCCTGTCTTCTTAACATGTCCACCCCTCGTTGTCCCTGTTCACAGTATTAGGCTGGATTATGGTTGTGTGGTAGTAGACACGTACATGTGGTCGGTGACTCAGTGTTGTCGTGTTAAGATTAGTTGCTCCTCATGATACCATCAAGCACGGAGCATTGATTGGATCAGTGGAGACAAAAGATGAAAGGGGTGACCCAGGTTCCCTAAAAATAAGAAAAATAACCATTGGTTCTAATTTCACGCCCTACTCTTTCCTGAAAAAACACTTCTGGAACTTTCCCGTTCTGGGATCTTTGTCCGGATGTGAACCAAACGGACTGTACTGTATGTATTTTCTCTGATATCTCGCCACACTTACAAATGTTGAAAGGGTGTATGTGGTGTTTTAATACCGTGACTCTCGGCCTACACTCACTTTCTGCCAACTGCGGTTCACTTTTTGTCAAGGACACAGCTCATTCACTGAAAATAGACATGTTCATGTTGGTCAGGGTTGAAAATACAGTAAGTGCTTGTAACTATTCAAGCCCCACAAGTCCTTGGATACTAGCTTCAATTAGATCTAGTACCACAGGCTTCAGAAACACATTAAACATTTTAATTGATGGACCCTTAGCCAAACATTTTTTTAGGGTGCCAGTACACACGGCTTTGCAGCCAAGTCATCGCCTCTCTCTGGTTGACAGACTCTCAGTGTTTGTAGTGAAGCTTGAGCTTGATTCATCTCCTCTGCCGTGATACTTGAGAAAGTAGGCTGAGCAATCCCCCGTTTCCTCCCCCGCCTCACCCTTTCCTGGGGTGTACTTTAGTCTAGACATCCCATTTAAAGCAGCAGCAACCTCACTTTTAGGATACCTTTCACAGGGGAACTTGTCAAAGACGCAGACTAAAATAACCTAACGTCAAAAGTCATGCCGTCATTACCAGATTAGTTATTCAGTTTTTTATTTATGTAACAGTTTCCAATGCAATATTTCCAATATTCCATTTTTGACCATCTAATGAAGAAATTCCTATATTTCTCAACTGAAAGAGCAGTCTTAGCTTTGCTATCACTATTATCCGAGGAGACTGCATTCTTACATGCATTCCTTTGATTCTCCTGTTACTTCTTACTCCATATTAGCTTTAAATAAATCCATCTCCTCCTCCAGATCTTACAGCTGCTGTTTTGATTGGATTAGACTTGAGTTGAATTATCGGAGCTGAGAGGAGCAGTAATGGGATGACGAAGAAGTGAGCTCGGCTGATTGGGTCATTACTTGGCTTATTAGTCCCATTTCCATAACAGACCTCTCAGAGCAGTGTGCCACTTAAAGCCTGGAGGCTCAATTCATGGTGTAATTGCATCTTCTTCTTTTTTACAAATTTGTGAGATCGAAATATTAAAATGGTACTTTCCTTTTAATTGGACAAAAAATATGGTTTTACAGAGCAGTCATCGTAAACCAATTCAGGTTTAATTAGACGTGTGGTAGAGCATTACTGAAGGAAAGCACCTTGAACAGCACAACTGCTTGATTTTAACCTTGACCACACAATTGCAACTGCCCCCTCCCCCATTTTCTATGTGGCAATACTGACCCCACGTGGTCAATGTGAGTAACAGCACGTAATGGGACCATCATCCTGCTGAGGGGAAGACAAAAAAAACAGCTATGCGTCTCATGCAGTGAAAGACTAACGAGAGCAAATTGACTGTTAGATTCAAAAGTCAGGACTTCACTGATTTTTCTATTATAGCCATAGTGTGACCCCCTTTGCGGGCGATGTATGCTGGGAGTTATGAGGAGAGGCCTCCACCTGAGATCAGAAGCAATTGTTCTGACCTGGTTAGCTGGCACTCAGTCTGTAGATTAGAAGAGTACTTTCAGACCCCACCAGTCTCACCCCCTTCACAGAGATCAGTAACAAACAAAGATAAGACATCACCAATCTTTCTCTGTATATGACTAATCAGAAAAATGGTCGATTCCTCTCGAGAAAAAAAAAAGCGTTCTTTCTTGTGGTTTTAGCAGGTTTAATCTATGCATGCCTTTTGTATACAGTGATTGCTCTTGCCAAACTCTCGCCTACACCTGTACGGAGAGCTATGGGTGCCATGCTGGCCATGGGACTGGTTGAAACCGACTTACTGCAAGAGCAGGTGGGACCATTAAAGTGTTTTTAATCTGGTACAACAGAGCAAAGGGGCTAATGATAACCTGCACCTGCATTCAGAGACACCTTAAAGAAGTGTGCGTCTTACAGAATTAGCATTTGTTTACTCGGGATGATTGTACTTTTACACATATCTATCCACACAGGGGATGTGTAAGCTGTAGATAAAACGATTGATATTCCAAGCAGGATGGTGGGACTGATCAATGCTGTATGGGGATAGGATTATTAATGGCATACTTTCATTGATCTATCTTGAACCTTGCCACTCTCCCAGAATCCCTCTGGAGAAGGAAGAGGCGTTCACAGCTCTTACAGACCTGGTTGGCACCCATTCCTAGGTTTCCTCATTACCTTTTAAGATGATTTCCCTCTTTAAAGAACGAGATGGTGCTAGATTTCAACTTTCCCCCCCAGGTCTTAGCTGATGTAACGCTGTCTTACCTCTTCCACTTTTCAGAGGAATCTGTCACTAACGTATAGCTCTGCATTTGTTGGAACCCTCTAATAAAATATATAGTCTCTTTCTCAATTTGGCACGGTAAAACGTTTTCTCTTCCCTCTCTCTTTTCTCTCTTCTATCTCACTCTGTCTTTTTTCTCTCTATCAACTTACTTGGCACCGACCTCGTTAAACATTTTAGAACACTTTTCATCGATCACTCCTAGTTTTTAAGCTAATGCATATTTGTTCCCTGTTAACATGGTCGTTACTGACTCCTGAAACCTAGGAATGGGTGCTGAGCGCTCCAATTAAATGCAGAGCTAACATAAGTACAAGTTGTTCAGCTTGTCACATTGAACGGTGTCAACTGATCAATCATTAAAGCATATGACGGCCTCATAATAGAAGCTGTAACTCAAATTTGGACTCTTGTTGCAAGAACGTGTGACTGTACTGATTCCTAACATTTAGATTTTGCACTGCGATGAGTGGATCCTTGGATGGGAAGAACAGAAACTGTACATATTAGATCTTTTAGCCATATCATGTCATCAAATCTGTAGACCTATTTGCCATGTCTGACAGAGGACAATGACTGTTGAACTGTAAATAGTGTAGGAATAGTAATATAAGATTTAATTGCTGCTTCTTTTCTCCAGGGATCCTCCATGTTTTGCTCAGTCCCATGGCTGCTTGGTCTCAAAGGGAAGGATGAGACAATAATGTACTTGTCTATAAAAAAACAAACAACATATAAGTCCTTTTTTTATTTTAATGTTTGTTTTATATACTGTCCGTCTTGTAAATGAACTCCTTTTCGTCATAAAAGCATGATGTGACTCTGTCAAAATTGTCCTGTGTCTCTTCTTGTTTCCTGCTTTTGTTACCTAGCATTTAAACATAGAAACTCTCACGCAAGCTACACTACATGAGAAATATGATGGTTTACCATATCGTAAAAATTGGAAAACAGTCCAAAAACATCATGGGAAAACTAAAATGTAAGAATAGTACCATGACGTTGATATCATCATTCCATCTGTGCTTTTACTGCTACATTTGAAGCACACTATTGTCTATCGTATATACTGAACATGGCCTTCCACTGAGGTCATTTCGTTTTATTTATTTCTAAGAGGTTTAAGAACCCCTTGGGGTGTGACAAATTAAGAAATATAAGTGAGAAAAACACTGGGTCTTTGCAATGTTGTATTTTACTTATTTTAGGTCAACACACAAACATTAAAGGCATACAGGAATTAGTATTCCTCACCAGAACATGGCTTTGAATTCAGCTTTCAGAAATTAAATGAAAGCCACTATAACCTTGTTTTTGTTTAGGTATTTTTCTATATTAAATAATGAAACATTTATAATCCTGGGGGAGTTATTCTAGCATTTAAGCGAACAGTTTTTTCGGCTATGGCGATGCTGTGTTTTCTTCACTGAGGTTAGCACACATTTTTCCTCTACACCAGCAGATGGCAACAATGCACCACAGTAAGAAACCATCACACAGAAAATGAAGTCAGTCAGCCAATTGCTTGTTTCTTTATTCATTTTAGTCAAAACACACAATTTAACCATACTGGTTTTCGCTTAGTGTATTATTTGTTTCATTTATTACTCGACTCTCCCCCCGCAGGCTGAAGGCAGATCAACGTGACGAACAGAGTCACTTTGGTATTGAGAGATGAGGATCAGAAGAACATTGTGTGTGTGTGTGTGTGTGTGTGTGTGTGTGTGTGTGTGTGTGTGTGTGTGTGTGTGTGTGTGTGTGTGTGTGTGTGTGTGTGTGTGTGTGTGTGTGTGTGTGTGTGTGTGTACACATTTGATCAACATCTTCGATTAGGTGTCCACTTAACAAGTCAGACCCCCTCCACCACCACCTCCATTGTGGCCTGGGGAGGGTCCAGGGCGCCTCAGCCCCCACCATAAAGGTCACTGCAGAGGTTAAAGGTGACCACACACACACACTGATTTTTCTGAGCCATCGTTCCTCCTCCCATCTCTCCTGTCCAGTCATTTTCTCTGCCCTCATCCATCGCTCTCTTTCCCTTGCCCTTTTTTTTTTTTGTCTCTGCTCTATTTGAAATTGATTGTCTTCTACCATCACAAAGACACTTGGTTCTGATTGATTGATTGGTTGGTAAGGGAAGAGGGAGAGAACATCGACACTGGGCTTACAGAGCTCTGAGCTCTGTCAAAGGAAAAAAAAAACTAAATGACGCCATTTTGATGCACTGGAATTAACCCGTATTTCAGCTGCCAGGCTGTCTGTTTGTTTATGATTCAGCCGGCTCCTACAGCAGACAAACACCAGGCTGGTCGAATTCAGATTGAAACAGGACGAGCTGAAATACAGGAACAAAACAAGTGAAAATCACACCTGTGTGATGAGACAAAGGGTAGATACAGACATGAACGTGTGGAGACTACGTCCACACAAAGGAAAGGGTTACATACAACAGGAGGAAAGACACACAGCGATGAAGCTGAAACACGTACAAATACACACATTATACAAATATACAAACAGCACATAAAACACAGGGCTAAAAAAGAATGTATTTGTAAACCAAAACCCATTTGTTTTTCCTTGTTTCTCCCCCTCTCCTCCACCTGTAGAGGTACAGTTTATCCTGCAGTTTATATACACTTATATAGTATCCATGCATAAAAGAATTGTCCCAACCCTAATGACAGAGGTGCTTCGGTTGGTTCTCTTTTTTTAATATGGGAATCACTTTAACACACAAAGAAGACAATCTTCAAACACAAAATAAGCCAAAAACTGATGCAAAACAGGAATTAGTGCATCCTTGATGAGTCATTTTACCCTTGAATTTAACAATATGCTTCTTAAATTGTATTCAATCTTTTGTCACTGATTACGTCCATCATCATATATGTAGCATCCTTTCCTGCCTGTTTAATTATTCCAAATCCTCCTTTTTATTCTTTCTCTTTACTCCAAAAAGGACAACGTGCAAACCTACAAACAATAATTTAATGTTAATCAGAAGTTGTCAAAGCATAATACGGCTTACTCCACACATTCCTTTAAAGAAATTTTAAAAAACGAACAATCATTTTGCTGTGACCTTAATGTCACTCTCATTGCTAAACATTGTCATTATTGTTTCACTACATTAACCTTTACAATAAAGATTTGAGGTATATCAAGATGAATTGTCTACACATGCCTGCCTCGATGTGATGCTACTGGACGGAGGGACCAGCAAAGAGGGTCTGGATGGGCGGGGGTCACCGGCGGGGGGCATCTAGTATCTTTTTGGAGCTGAAAGGTCTCATCACTTCTGCACTTATTGATCATGGGTAGGTTGTTACAAAGGTTTAAGTTTTAGATGTCAGCCAATGAGAGAGCGGGATCTTTGTAAACATTCAGATACACACACACACCTACACTCGGTTACAAATTACACAAAAATATCTCTGGTGGGAGTGTGTGTGGGTGTGTGTATCCTGAAGATGTGAGAGGACATTGTCTCACAAGCATGTTAACAACATTTAAAAACAAAAGGGTGGTGGTAAACAATCGTATCCCCTCATTGGGTTAAAGAAAGTGCGTTCTACATTCAAATCAAAGTTGCTTGTTTGATGTAATGAGGACCCCCTCCTGTGGTGCTCCCCCTTCACCCAGTGTGTGCCCCCCTTCACTTGGAACACTGTGTGTGTTCATGTGTGGGTGTGTGCAGAGCAGTCTATCCCTTTGTTGAAGGAAAAAGGCACTCAACACTTCCCACATAACAAACACCTCAATGTGTTCGCCATGCAGCACGACTGCTCTGTGGATGTATGTGCAATAAGAAGCATTTCTGTGTGTGTGTGTGTGTGTGTGCGTGTGTGTGTGCGTGCGTGCGTGCGTGCGTGCGTGTGTGTGTGTGTGTGTGTGTGTGTGTGTGTGTGTGTGTGTGTGTGTGTGTGTGTGTGTGTGTGTGTGTGTGTGTGCACGTCCCAGGTCCAGTTTGAACACGGCAGGCTAGAAGTATCTTTGGTATCGACGGCTGTGTCACAGTCCACTCTATTCTGTGAGGTAGCCACACACACAATTGTTTCCATCACTAACGCTCTGGGTCTGAGCTTCGAATATCTGCACTGAAAGCTACAGTTTTTCCCTCTGGACTCTAGAGGACGTCTTTAAAGTGACACGTCCACCAGGGAATCTGTTATAGTGCACGGCAGAACCCAAACTGTGGAAGAAAGTCAGTAAAATGCTTCCTTCCAGTCCGAAGATGGCGGGCCTCTGATGTTCCTGCGTCACCCTTCCTCCTCCTGTCTGCGCCTCCTCTCTAATATGATTATCTCCCGCTAGAAGATGCTACACAACAAGTGGCTTTGCCCACAAAGATAAAATTAAAAAAGACACAAAGTAATGTGGTGGTTCTCATGGTAACCAAAAAACATCCATCAGCAGAGGAATGCAGTCAAAGGGCTTCAGAGATCAGGTCCTTCCATCACATAAATTCACAAATATGCACAGTTTGTCATTTGTGGTAATCCTTCTCCGCCTGTGCATAGGATCAGTCTGTTGATTCTTCTTTTTTTTCATCTTTAAGTTTTTTTCATTTTGTCAACAAGGTGCTTCTTTACATATTCAGCACAACATAGCACAATAGTCACAAGAGAGAAACCATGTGACTATGGTACTATTATTACCCGCATCAATAGTTAAGGAAAGGAGAAAGAAAAGACACAACAGGGGGAGTAGCAAGAGAGTAGATAAATAGAGAATAGATAGAGAGACAGAGAGAGAAAGAGAGATGAAATTAAATACTATTTACATTCATTTTCATTGTGTTTCATGTCGATCACATCAATGTGTTTCTGAGGTATGGAATAGGCAGCGTGCCCGAGTGGTGCTCGCAGTTTGACGGTTGTAACATCACAGGCCTGACACGGGCGGCCTGCACCTGTTCTCTGATTATCATAAAGAGGCAAACATCATTGGCACTCAGAATCCTATATTGTGACATTTGACCTCTGCGTTTGGCCACTAGAACAGAGCAGACCACCCCCTCACTCCCTACCTTTGGACATAATAATTGTTGTTAAACGCTGGGAGTATCATCCCTGTTTGATTGTTCTCCTTTTGTAACCTGAAAATAACCTCTCACATGGCCACACAGCAAGTCGCCTTACGAGTCTTAAGAAACAAACATTCAAATGTGTATCAAAGGGTTTGTGGGTAATCATTTTGTCTCAGTTTGTTGGGTGATTGCAGGGCTACACTTCTGCTTGTCTTTATCCTAAGAGAAATCTACGCTGCATGCTACTCTGTTGCTGGATGTTCAGATGTGGGTTGAATGGACAGCAGGGGGCACTGTTACACTGAGGTGCAGCAGGTTGAATCACTGCAGAGGAATTAGACCCCAGCAGCGACACAGCATGTGAACATTACGCACATCCACACGCACGCCTGCAGGGATGCAGAGGTGGTGTGTGGTTAGCGGGTCAAAGGACCTGTCGAGAGCATTTCACAGACACTTGACACACAAACGCACCTCTCAATCAGCCTCAGTGTCTGCTACTGAAATGAGGAGTGGTTCATCACTGCCCAGCAGACACCTCTGTCTGATTTCTGCCTGATTTGTAAAGATCAACGTGTGTCTGCTCAATGTTCCCTCTCTTAAAGCTATCTGTCATGAGTGATTATTTGGTATGTTTACATCTTGACAATCAGCAGAGTTTTCTAAATCAGGCTTTAGCTAGGCTACACGGTGGTTTTAGTGTATGGATTATCTTTGGTGTTGAAGTGGAGAGTTTACGGAGAGCCACATGTGGTTGACTCTTTTAAAGCTACTGGATCTTTGGTTTGTAGAGCCACAATAAAAAAAAATGCATGTTAACCCCTCAGAGTAACATTCTGATTAAAAAGAAAACACTTAGAAAGGTTCTGATTCATCGGCACAAGTCATCAGCACTGTGAGCAGATGAATCAGATGAGTGGTCTGAAGCTACACACCCTGTAGCTCTGCAGGATTACAGTGCTTAAAAACATCCCCCCCTCCATCCTCCATGCATCTGTCCAACCACACGTCCCGATACAGTCAGGCCTTGGAGAAAGTCCCCGCAGAGGAGGTGCCGGGTTGGATCGGTGAGGAGTTGTTGTTGTTTCCGTGAGGAGTGTGAACGTGGCCGCGCACCCCGTGACCGAGCTCCTCCGAGTCCCAGCGGTCCGTGGAGCGGCGGCGGGCATTCATGAAGAAGTTGGAGACGGTGGTGAGCTCCAGGCCGAGCTGCTGTGAGATGGTGATCTGCATCTCTTTGGAGGGGCGGCGGTTCTCTCTGAAGATAGCTACCAAGGTGCGACGCTGCAGGTCTGTGAAGACCAGTCGCTGCTTCTTTGGCACCTGGTTGCGCTCTCGTCCTCGGTCCTCCTCCTTACGTTTACATGCTGGAGAGAGGAAGGGGTGGAGAGAACACATGAAAGACTTTTAGTATTAAAAAGAGTCTATGGTCCTTTAATGTTATACAAAGTTCAGATTTGAATGCAACATATTTCAAAAATGTGCAACAAGATTGGGATTCATGAGACAAGAAGTGAGGACATAAAGGGAAATGCCAAATGGTTTAAGACAGACAAATAAAATGGCCTATGGAAAAAGTAGATGGTGAAAAAGGGTTATAAATGGTAAAAATGCAATTGTTTTGTGCATGCATGTTTCAGTGGGGCCTGTGTGTTGTAATGTGATATTTGAATGTGTTGTCTCCAAAATGTACTCGTGAATATGGTCGGCCTACAGGTAGACAGTATCACATTTTGAGTTAATAACATTGCCCCCTCCCTAAATGACATGCGGGATGATACAAAGTCAGAAAGTATACGGATGAGAAAGTGAGTAGTCCGTGCCGTGGTCAGTAAAACTAAATAAAAAATTCTCTCAGACTTTCAGATTCTCCAAGTAAAAAAGGAGACATCTGCTGCGAGTACCAGATCTCCCCTTGGGATCTTTTAATGGCCATTACCCTGACTTATGTAAGTTCCAGCCTTAAAAATTGTGTATATATTATATTTTTCTTATTTTCCAAAGTACTCTAAACGTTTTCACATCGATTTCTAACCTTCTATGCTTCCTTTGTTTTCCATTTATTTCATACTTTTATGACAATCAACTTGAGAAGATCTGGAACTTGCTTGAAAGCTCACAGTATCCTTGTGTTTTAGTCAAATGTAATTATAATTTCTTCTTTCTGAAACTCTTAATGTTGGTGTGTTCAAAAGTTAAGATACAATCGTCGATCATCTTATTTAGGCTATAAACAGAGATTGTTGATACAAATCCTAGACTTCTTTCCAAAAGCTATCGACACTCATGTCCAACTATTCTTTAATATATTTCTGAAACATTACTTTGCTAAACCTTGTCTCTATAATGTGTTTAGAATAAGATAATTATCTAAAAATGGTGTATAATTACAATAGCACTTTTCCAGCCATTGCAGGGTTTTCAGGCAAATGTATTTTACAGTCCCTTGCAAATGATAATGATAAATCTTTTTCTTTATGCGTAAATAAACATAAGAAGGACCAATGGTTTAACGACCCCTGCTTACATCTGCAGTATAGCTAAAACGTGAGAATAACAACAAAAAAACATCAATGCGAATAATTGTTTATCGGGATGGATTCCCTGTTTCAAGCAAGTTTCAAATCACTACAAGTTGATTATCAAAGTGCAGTGAAATGACGTGAAACCAGTGGCCGCCGGGAGGATAGGAAATCAATCTAAAAACTCACAGAAGCTTTGAAAACGGTCGTCAGTAATGCAAAGTGGGCTGAGCAGTGACTTCGTTGATAATGGGCTAAAACATGCATACAAAAACACTAGGATTGACCTTTAAAGTTAATTTGCTTCATGTTGGTTGATGACGAGTTAGTCTTCTGTGGGAACATGATCATTACTGTATTCTCCTGGTCTAATTGTACAGTTCGGATAACCCACCTGTCAAATCTGACCGATGTACTTTCATCAATCATAAATATTGTGTTTTCAATTTGAACATGTCTAACTGCTAGTCACCACTTTAATTACATTTTGAGAATTGTTAAGACAACTTTGTAAAATCTATTGTGTTCCTGGTTCAAAATTGACCACCATAGGAAATTAATGGGATTATGTTCATCCATCAAATAGCTACACACCCACAAATCGTCAAATCTTAATGTCTATTCATTGTATTTTCCACTATTCATGTAGACATTGTTTACTGTTTAAAATGGTGATAAACAAAATGTGGTGATGATTCATGTTTTTTTTTGTTAATGTTAGGAATTCTGAACTGGAACACCAATAAGGAGGGAAGAAACGATCACGACAGGAGGGTTAATAAAAAGAAAAAAGATTATGGAGGACAAATAGTTTTCATTGTGTGTGATGTTGAAACTGGAGGAGCGGGATGTGAAATGCTGACAAAGAAGCGGTGCTCCGTGCCTGCTGTAGCTGTGGAGACTGAAGGGAGTCTGTTCTGTTCTGCTGCCCTAAAAAGCTGCAATGATCGATTTTCCGCGGTTTTCTCCTGAACACGTGGTCCAGTAATCAGGGCTCCCTTCCCCACCCGATCGATCCCCATCGATCCGCGAGACCGAGGTGTGTGTGTGCGTGTGTGTGGTGCGTGCACTGCCTCGCATTGGGGAGTATACCCGGGAGCGCGCTTAGTGACAGACAGATGGAGAATAAATTGTTTATCTGTGGAAGAACAAAGGAGATGTGGCAGAAAAAGGGTGGCAGTCATCCAGTGTGAGAGCTGAGGACAAAGGAATGTCTCCCATCATAATACGTCATTATTATTATTTTATACATAGTGTGAGGCGTGCATGAGATGTGGTGTGCATGGTGTAAGTGAAGCAAATAAACAAAAATTAGGATGATCCCTTCTAGTTTTGTGCAAATAGGAGAGGATGGGGAGAAAAGAAGAGAGGGTGAGGGGGATGAAAGGAGGGAGAGCGGGCTGCAGTGTGGAGGTGTAGTATGCAAATGATTGATGACTTTACAGCAGGTTTAGACAACAGCAGTAAACTGATTTGACTGTGGGGTGGGGGGGAGATCAATATGAATGTGCACATGTGTATGCATGGCTGTGTGTGAGCGTGCATGTGTTTGAATTGCCATTGTTCTTGCTTTTACTGCAAGCAAAGCATAATTAAGATATTTCCCTGAGCAGAGGAGGTTATATGTTTGTCCCTGCACCACAGAACCCTCCTGGACTTCTTCAACTGTTTCCCTCTTGTTGTTTTTTCTCAATTGTTTTAATTTGCCCTCAGATTGATAGCCCCCATATTGATTGATCCTCACTTCAGAACCATTTCACGGAACGTTTATTCAATTGGTTCAGGCCCAGCCATGCCAGAATCTCCTCGCGGCTCTCTAAGTGCTGTCTCAAACCAAACTCAATACTCCCTAATGTAATGACTGAATGCTAGTGCTAATATAGTGATAATTTAATATGTAATGCCTGTTTTCGAACAACTTCTGCTACCGCCCATTTTACAATGTCAACACCACTCTGGTTCTCCTCCATCAGCTCCTCTCTGCAGCTCCGAGGCCTGCAGAGCAAACAAGTGGAGCCGAGGAGTTAGCACCAGGCCTGCTCATCAATGCATATTTCAGATAATCAATAGATCCATCTCAAATGAGACCCCTGAACATCCTTTCCCAAGCAATGAATAGGACCACAGGGAAAGTAGAGAGGGAGCTGCTCATTAAAACAGCCTCTCTTGAGACCAGAACCTCAGTGTTAGGCTATCTTCAGTTGCCTCTTTACCAAATGGGCTTTTCTGAAGAGACAAGGCTCAGCAGTCTCAAGTGGCACTTGCTTGTATCGTCTATTTCATTTGTCCTGGTGTCAATGATGCTATAAGGTCATTTGCTTAATGCCAAACTCTTCCTGATCTCAATATCAAAATGCTGGATGTGCAGCATGTTAAGCTGTCCTCGTGCCTCCTTTACAGTAAGAGCTGCTTTCACTTAAGTGGTTGCTGTTTGCCATAAGACTGCACTTATACATGAAGATGGGAAGAGCAGTTTGGATGATGGTTGACTTTTGTTTGTTATATTGCAGGATGTGACAGCCATGAAGCTACAGTACTAAGAGGGAGCTGGCTGACAAAAACGACTGTATTGGACAACAATCTGTGATATTCAGCCAATGTCTTTAAACTTTCCCTTCTTGATAAGAGTGGCAGATGTGTTTTCCATCAAATAAATACCACTTCCCATTTAAAACTCTGGAAATGTCATAGTTCTCCTTCACACACAGTATTTGAATCGGCAAAAGACACAAACTTTCTCCCATACATCACTGAAAATCTATTTAACTTTAGGTGGACAGGAGGCTTTAAAAGTCAAGACCACAATGGAATAAATTGCATTTTGACCGCAATTGGCTCCGGTGAACACAGACAAACCTGTGTTAAACGCTGTGCATGCATCATTCTGCACAGTGACGCTCAAACAGCCAAGATCATGCATCCAGGCTAACAATAGCATTTGGACTAAAGACACTCTGCCTAAAATGTTAAATATGTAGGAGTGACATGATATTCTCAGATGACAGCTTTGTTGTTGCAAGCCAATAAGTGAATGTGAGTCATATTTAAAAGGCCATATATTCATCTATTTATCCAAATCCTGTGCTGTGATGAGATGAAAAATGCATGTTTGTGACTAAGTTTAACAGTGTGTGTGTGTGTGTGTGTGTGTGTGTGTGTGTGTGTGTGTGTGTGTGTGTGTGTGTGTGTGTGCGTGCGTGCGTGCGTGCGTGCGTGTGTGTGGTGGTACTAAGTTTAACAGTGTGTGTGTGTGTGTGTGTGTGTGTGTGTGTGTGTGTGTGTGTGTGTGTGTGTGTGTGTGTGTGTGTGTGTGTGTGTGTGTGTGTGTGTGTGTTTGTGTTTGTGTTTGTGTGTGTGTACATGGGGCATGAGAGGGCAGACGGTGAACTAACCGCACCGTGCTGCTGCTACTCGGCGCCTGGACGGACGGATGAGACCGGGCTTTGTGTCCGGAGAGACGGGCCCTCTCCCGCCCTGGACGGACTACTGCAAGCGAGAAACAGTTTGGCGTCAATCACTCTCTGTCACACCTCTCAGATGTACGCTTATTGATTCTATTGATCATATTATAGGCCTATTCATTGCTGGGAAAAGGAAAACGCCATTAACCCCACCCGCATTAACACAGAGCAGTGGTGAAACAAAACCAAACCGTCTTTAAAAAAAAGACTACCAATTGATTAGGATTGGATTATTTGAAAGCTTTCGTTTATTTGTCAATGTAAAGCCTGTGTTGTCCTGTTGAGACGAGTGATCGGCAGCTTTAAAGCCCAGCTATCGGCTTTTAGTCTATAAACCGTGTTTAATGCCTCTCCTCTTCCCCTACAACTAAACGGTCACTTTATTTACTCCAAAAGAGCTCAGAATAAATGGGCCAATTGAATAAAGAGAGCACAGCTTTAAACATTTGCTGCTTAATACAAAACGAGTTCTCGGTGCCACGAAACTAAAAACGAACTCCCGAGAAGGAAGAGAAAATAAATATCTTCAGCATTCCGAAAAACGTAGACACCTTTATTATTATTATTATTATTATTATCTTAGAAACGTATGATATTTCCAAAAAAAGACATAAAAAGAAGGCAAATAACAGTTTGACCGATTCAAATTCAATTGTTTTTTGAGGGGAGAATGTGTTTGATTGAAGCCTCAAACACGCTTTGAATTGCCCGGATGTAGTTTATTTTCCCTTTTATTATCGCAAGCGTTTCAACAGTTCATTTTTTTATTTGACAAGAAGGAGTGCTTTGCTCTAAAATATTAAAATGTGTGGGGCCTGCTATATCGATATATTGATTTAAATTATGATTAATAGTGTAATATTGTAGAGTATAAAGCTAACACTTTTTGAGATACAGGTTATCAGTTAGCTGGAAATGTATTGAGAATTCACTTAATATAAGAAAGCCTGTCCTGCCGGGCAAATCAAAACAATTAATACAACAACAATTAGCTAAATGGGAATTTAAGTAACTGATCAAGTTTTGCTAAAATAATTCTCTGCTCGGATTTAACCCTCATTATAAACACTCATCCACACACTTTTCCTCTCACTCTCTCTCCCTCTTTCTTTCTCAAACACACACACACACACACACACACACACACACACACACACACACACACACACACACACACACACACACACAGAGTTGCGTAATCCAAAAAACAGTATTCTCTCCCTGTTGACATATGTGTGTTAAAATGTATCAGAAGAAAATAATGCAAGAGCTACTCAAAAAAAGGTGGAGGGTTGTTTTTATATATTTGTGTCACCTAGTCTCATTATAGACGACCTCTATCAAAGTTTGTGCTGATCTGCATCATGCCAAACAAATGTGTTATACTTTGAATAATGACAACAAACATTATATTCTATTCTTCTATTCTAGTTTGATGCGGTCGAAATAATGGGAGGATAGGTCATAATAACCACAAACATCTAATCTCATCAGTTCATCAGGTAATTCAAAAAATGTGGCTTTGGATTGGTGTTGTATAAAGTTTTTGAGACTGTGTTAATAATATTGCAGAGTCTTCCTAAGTCTGGACACATTCATTATCATTCATACTGAGTGTCAAAATATTTCACTCACTTCAGTGTTCCAAAATGAGTCCTGTCTCTGACAGAGAGAGATGACCAGAGAGCAGAAATGAAATAAGGGTGAAAGTCAAAGGATCTGCTTTGCTGATGCTGGTACAGAGCCAGAATAGAGAGAAGGGGGAGGAAGGCAGGGAGGGAGAGAGAGAGCCGAAGAGAGCAGAGGAGAGGAAATCAATACCGATTCAGAGTGAGTCAGATAAGCCTGAACAATGTATAGTGCAGACACACTCTATAACCCAGTCACACACACATATGTGGAAGCACTCACACAGAAACACACGCTCACAGACGCACACGCCGGGTGAAATGTGCTTGCATGCCTCCATAAAGGCGCATTACAAACCCCATAAAGCATTGCAACCTTTAAAATCATAATGACATAACAACCTTGGATTGCTTTGAGGATTCGCTGACATGAGCAGAAAGCACTCATTACTACGACTCGATAGGCAACTGGACGCTCTGTTGCTCTTTGTCTACTGTAAGAGGCTCTTAAGCTCTGATCTTTTATGTTTGTGGTCAAACACCAGCCTTCCTGATTTCACTGCAAATATTGCAGTTCTTTTGTTATAAATGCTCAGAGAGACTTCCTTTTCCAGCCTCATAAATATGTGATTTTTTAGCACTAGGAGTCCACACCATCCTTGGTGCCAGATCTGAGCTGTTGATATTCCACACAGGATGTTTTGGGATGTAAACAGTGTTCTTGAAAACCACTAACACACTCCCTGCCGTGGTGTTTAGGTGTGTGGTCCTTAGCTGTTAACCACAGATTTGACTTTGCTTACCTAGAAGATGCTGTTTCAAGCGCTTACACCACCGCTCTCTGCCTCTCTCTTTCTTCCCCTCTCCCTTCCGTCTCCCTTATACTTATCAATTATTAAGGTCGGTATTGATCCTTTCACTACCCTGCCTCTATCTGGCTGTTCACACAAAGCCAAAACCTGCCTGCCCTCTCTCAATCAATGGCATCTCCAGGCTCTTTTTCCATATGTCAGTTTTGCTTTTCTCGCTTTTGCACTTAACCTGGGCCGAATGAAGTTTTGTACATCCCAAATTAGTCCATTCAAACTCTTCAGAAAATATGAGAAACAGCAGACTGCTATACATCTTTCATGCCACAGGCAAGTTTGATGGGCATGAAAAGATGGGCGGGCAGGGAGAGTGGAACATGGCTGTGTGCATTGTTTGACTTTATGAAACAGCTCTCGTTCATCCTCCAGTCCAGTCATGATTTTTTGTTTTGTTCTGTGGCGCTGATCTGCTGAAGCCAAACAACCTGCCTGCCTGTTGCCAAGTTAACCAGGGGAAGGTAAGCGATATTATTGTCATAAGCTGCAGAGAGGGAGAGACAGAGAAAGAAAAACAGAGAGGGAGAGCACCAGGGAGTGGGAGAGAAGGGGGTTGGGAAGGGGAAACGGCCTTATTGATCTCCTATGTGCAAAGCCAGGCAAACACTGAAAGGACAGAACTACACTATTAATGACACTCACAGCCTCAGCCACTAATCCTCAGCTATTTATCTACCCATCTTTCTATCTATCTATCCATCTACAGTGTGTATTCATCCATCCATCCATCTATCTATCTACGTATCTATCTATCTATCTATCTATCTATCTATCTATCTATCTATCTATCTATCTATCTATCTATCTATCTATCTATCTATCTATCTATCTATCTATCTATCTATCTATCTATCTATCTATCTATCTATCTATCTATCAACCATCTTCTGTTATCAGAAAATATCCAGTGGGGTTTTTGGTTCATCAGTGTCAAAAAAAACAACAACTCATCTAATTCAACATTTTAAAACTATTCAACATTAAAAACGACAAGACGGTGTATACTTTTTATAGGTGCTCGATTATCTCTAATGTATTGATTCTGATAATCATAGTCACATCCGGTGCCATACAAACGCAAAATGTGGCAGAATTACTATTAATGTTTTGCCTGTTTTTTCTGTCCTAAAAACTCCAGATGCTCCATAGGTTCTTATCTTTAGGCCTACTGGTCCCTGCTGTTAGCAATCCACATCTCAGCTGCAATCAATATTTCATCAGAACATTTTGAATATATGGTTATTTTGAAATATATCTTGGGGTCACATGTAGGCAGTGTTGGAGATACATTTCTGATGTAAGATTTTTTATGTCTGTACGTGTTCTGGTAAGGGCAAAGTATAATGAGTGTTTTACATTTTTCTTTTTATATCCATTGAAATCATGTTGAAGTTCCTTCTCATCTGACTCCTCTGCTTTTCTCACACCAGCCATCATACCTGTCTATGATCTACATTTAGAGCTTTTACTACAGCGTGCTAAAGCCGGAGAGACCGTGTGGTTATTGCGACTTTCAGCTCTGATACGAGTATTGATCCTTATGCCACATTTAAAAGGGAGAGTGGGAACTGGCGTATTGATCAGGCAGCCTGGGGTCACCCCGCTTCTCCCGCGCAACTAGTTGTCCCAGTAACCCCAGCACCACCACTGCTGTGTGTTTATAGACGGGCAGAGAGAGAGAGGGGGAAATGCGTCGGGGGAGGGCAACTATTTCGAGGTTTATTGTGAATCAATGGCGATTTGCTGTGTGCCAATCAAAAATATAGACCTGCAAATGTGGTCTACAACAGCCTGCTTAAACGAAATACCCCCGCCCAAAACACTCATTTAAAACTGTTTTAAAGAGCTGTGATTTCTATATAATAAGAAAACTATAGGCTATATTTGCTTATGATTTTAGCGTAAAGACAGTGTTGATCTTAAACCGCTGTGACTCTGCGCGCTTTGTTTTAGCCGGGTGAACTGTCCATAGTGCTGAATGTTTTAGGCCAGTGCAAGTTCGTTCAGTGTGTATGTTAATAGTTTTTTTAAATTGAGGTGGAAGGTGACTGGGCTGTTTCTTCAGAATAATATGTTTTCATGTGAAATAATAATACTGAAAGCAGAGTGTCTTACCGGCCAGCCGGAGAGCAGACATCCTTTGAAACTCGGGCTCCTGCAGCCACTTCCACATCCTCCTGAAGGTCTCCCGGCCTGACTTGAGCTTGCCCCAGGGTTTGGGGTTCCTCAGCAGGTCTGAGAGGGTTCCCTGCGACCGGCTCAAGATCCTCTGCGCGAATATGGCCTGCGGGATGGAGTATCGCTTTAACTCAGCCGTTATCCGCTGAGCCACTTCCTTCGTGTTAATTTCCTCCCCCTGCATGCCGGATCCTGATACTCCCTGCCCGGCTCCATGGCCGTGCATCTCCCGGTCCCCAAGCATCACCGCGCCATTCGCCTGGGAGTGCAGGTGACTGTGCGGGTGGTGGTGCATGCCGTTGAGGTTGGAAATCATACCGTGGCCGTGGCCCCCTAAACTCCTCGCCAGGTGCTCCTGGTCACTCCGGGACAGCATGGACGCGTGGGACTCAAACCCGGACACCGGAGAGAGCATCTTTGTTTCATTGGAGAGGTGCGCGCTCGGCCCGTAGGCTGACAGAGGCTGCTGGGAGTTGTGCAAAGAGCCCAGCCCGCTGGACAGAGGGGAGAGCGAGCCGTGACCCATGCCGGACACGGACATCTCTTTGGGGTAGTGGCTGTAAAGATTTCCCATGGAGGCGAGCCCCCGGTGGTCGTCCCGCATCAGCGTGAAACTTCCGCTTACGTTCCCGGCAGAGAGTCGCTGATGAGCGGCAGCGTGGTGGTGCGAGTGCGTGGGGTGAAACTTATCCGAGACGGTGGATATGGAAGGTAGATGCTGCAGGGGGGTGAGGGTGGTGTACGTGTTACTGAAGCTCATCCCGGTCTCGCACATGCTGATGGACGGGTGCAGGTGTCCGGACAGCGATGATGGGTCTGTCCGGTAGTCCCCGCCGGAGCCCTCCAGGAGCGAGGCCATGCCGGACACCATGGCTGACCGCGAGCCGGGACCGTGGGCGACCAGGTTCCGGGGATTGGAGCTCGGGGACGGCGACGGCCGAGCGTGCGGTGAGCTCATGAGGTCTCCCGCCTGGGAGTGCGATGAGAGGCTGTGGAGGTTCTCCATGGTGAGCTCCATATCTGAAAGGATATGTCCCACCCTCCCCACCCTCTCCCCCTGTCTCTCGCTCCTGCCTCTGACGCTCTCTCTTAGCCCTTAGCCCTCCTGGAGCGATAAACTGAGTAAACCGTTTGAACGCCAATCCATCGATGAAGACTGTACGATCAATCCAGCGCGGTGCAGATAAATTCTGGTATTCAGAAGAAGCTGCAGAACCGAGTCTCTCCGTGGTGCTCTATGCCTTCATGTGGGGCTCTCTCGGGTTGTATCTCATCTCTGGTCCAACAGCGCGGCCACTATGAGAGGCTGAGCTGCGCGTCAGGGAGCGCGCCTCTGTAGATTTAAAATATGGGGCGGGTAGGAGTTTCCTTATAGTATTCTGGGATAAAACTAACTGGGATTAAAAAGCATCCAGTGAAATCAGAATGCCTCACACTGGTTATCCACACGTTCACATGATAGCGCTATAATTAAATATGTAGAAGTTTAAGTATTATAAATAGTGCATCTGTGTGTGGGCGTGTGCACGCACATAGCCTTCCTGTTCACACACTGATTGATTTTAAATCTAAATTGGGAAATTATTGTTGTCCCAGCAGCATTGTTGTCTAACATAACAAGTGAGCTAAACATATAAAATATAGAATAAGATACAAATGTTGTAAAAAAAAAAAAAAAGGTTAACAACAAATTAATGACACTAGAAAATTCGTCACTAAAGTATCTAAATAATACACAATATAAAGAAGAATACTGAATAAATATTGAATACCCTGCAATATACAGTTTCACTAGGCAACATAAATATTTAGAAGTATAGGGTACAGAAACATTTTGACAGTGGATTATATCAATTGTACAAAGTGACATGCAGAAAGACGATGGCAAGATGTGACATAATTGTATAAAATACAGTCAGGCCTATCAGTTTCCGGATACAGGAGTTCTTTACAGATAAACTTTGTTTTCCCACGGACTGTATGGTTTTGCATTTATGCGCTTAGTGATAAACCTGATCGAAGTATTGATTGACAGAGATTAATGACGTGGCGCAGGCCGGTGGGGGAGGGTGGGGGGTGAAGGAGGTCACAAAGTGAGTTAGGATCCCAGCGCTGCAGACCAATGACAGGATAGCCCTTTGGTTTGTGCAAAGTTCACCAAGTCCAGAGACCAACTTCAGACGTTGTCTGCTTACAACAATAACCTCCATAATAAATAATATTATGGTAATCATATTTGTCCTTTGACACATTAAAAATAGCCTGAACCCAAAGGAAATTGAACTTTAGCTTAATAAGAAAAAAAGCTCAGGTTTAGAATATATGATTTATAACAATAAAGGGGCTACTTTAACATTGGCCTTAATAAAGAAGCAAATAAAAAGCCAATATCCCCTTGACTTGAGAGGCAGATGGGTCACTTGTGATTTTATGTTAAATCAATATGCTTCTTTAAAATATGGTAGTGGAATGTAACCAAAATGTAGGCCTAAATAACTTTTTAACAATGCTATTTAATAATAATAGAATCTGAGGTTATATATATTTTTTAATGTCATGGTGTATTGTTTAATACACAATTAATTGTATTTATTTTGCAGACAGTCGGATCTTCAGTGTGTTAGGTCTCTCTGCTCACTAAAATAAATGAATGAACCCTCGTTCGTGTGTGTGTGTGTGTGTGTGTGTGTGTGTGTGTGTGTGTGTGTGTGTGTTTGCTTCTTTTTAAGCATTTCATGTTTTATTGTTCCTAATAATAAAAAATAAAAAAATCCTTTATACATGTATATATTTTTTCCATATTGCATATATTCACAGAAAGACAATGTTAGTGTTCAGGTATGTGAGCTTACAAAATAATGTTAAATAAAGCATTTATTGTAGTTGTTTTACAACTTATAGCCAATGTTTAAGAATGAATGTATTGCTTGAACAAGTTTATTAAAATAATTTTGGCTTGGTTAACTACATTCTAAAATGTGTTTCTTAAAAAAATAAACATTGGTCTAAATTTCAAATATATATTTTAGAAAGGTTAAGGATTAAGGCTCATATATTTTTAAGAATTAAATAACAGCGTAAACGCACTCACGCACTCGGACGCACACACACTTTGGTGAGCAAACGTGTTCAGGCTTCTTTTCCTGCAACCAAAAATAAACGTTAAATGATTTTTTTTAGCCGAAGCTTCTAAATTCACCTTTTCTAATTGTTATTGCCATATCTTCGGGAAATATGGCCTAGAAGAGTACGGGTTCACAAATAATTCCAACAAGAAAAGTGTTTCAATGAATCCGGAAACGTCCACCCACATTAACTGTTATTGCTGGATATCATAAAGCTCCGTGTGGTTAAGCTGTTTCCCCTAAAGTTCAGAAATGGATCGCCTCATTCGATAAATTGATCATCGATCACTTCCATCTCGCTCGGCGTTGTTTCCTAAACACAGCTAGGCATTTGTGTGAGATCCTTTCAGCGATGAGGCGTTGACCTGTAGCACATGAATGACTGGTATCAGGAATATGTTGGCAAAAAATAAATGTCAGCTGTGTTGTTTTATTATCTTATTGAGCAAAACGTGTGCTTCCTCCTCCTTTCAATACGGTTAATAATGACGTCCGTGTGGGCCTGTAATTTACCTTCGTGCAGGCGAGAGGTTATTTCGATGAGGACAAAGAAAACTAAATATTCCTCTTATTTGTTCATCAAAACACTTTTTTATTTGTCACCTGTATTTGTAACATCAATATGAGTGTGTTATTTTGGTTTAGCACCGAGCTGAACATCTTCCATCGTAGCTATAGGCCTATCATTGTTTTCTCAGGATGAGAATAGCTCATGTGTAAATGTGAAAAGTAAGATTTGACTTTTGAGGAGCATTACATAATTCAATATAAGAGTTAAAATCCTAATTTATTAATTTACTTTGGTTTAAAAAGGTCAACATATTGGTTGGGTGACAAGAAATGTTTTGTGTGCATCTTCCCTATAATTCACTATTCACCAAGTTAGGGATTTCTAACGTAATTATAGTTTTTTTTTTTACCCTGACAGCAACATTTACCACGTGTTTATTTTATAGAGACAAATTAGCTTTGGAAAAAACATTTTAAAAAACCCAATTCTTGGTCGTCAAAATATGCTGTTCGGCACTGAATGCATCGTAGCACATTGCAGTTTATTTATGTGCAAATACAGTAAATTACAAAACGACTCCTCTTCTGCTCACATAACATAATGGCATTGATTACATGTTTTGCAAAAGACTAACAAAATATATCGAATTTGCTGTAAGGTGACAAAGATACATCTAAAAGGGGATATTGATCCAAAAAAGTAACCTATATAAACATAGGCTGGAAAGAAGAAAGTCCTGGACCTTCCATAGACACAATCTGCACACTGATGAAAGAGCTTTGAATAGTAAATCTGAAAAATAGTTAGTAAAAATTACATATTCAAATATCTATACCTTTGGCCATGTCAACAATATTTGGTATTTTTCTCTGTAGATCTGAATCATCTGTTGTGGAAAATCAGAGTGATGTCTGTTACATTTTTTTTAATTTAAGTTAAAAAAGACATCTTAAATATTGCATACATTTCTTGCAGGCAATGTGAGATTATTTTCATGTATATGGGTAATAATCTGAAGTTTAAAAGCATAACAGCATGTGGGACGTGTTTCAATAAGAGGTACTCACCGTAGGCTTGCAAAGCAATGAGTGCATCATTTAAAAAATACAATAAATTATTCGTGTTTTTTCTTCAAAGTGTTTTGTAAATAATAAAATAACAGATTTATGAAGCAGAATTGGACTGTTGTGGTAGACCTTTATATTTCTGTATTCTGAGTATTTCCCCCATCCAGGAGTGAGAGACCCTGAAACCCTCAGTAGGAGTTAAATCATT